AAGTGAAATATTAGGCGCCGTCACGGTCCCGTCGGTGGGAAATTTCGGGTCGTGACAGTTGGTATCAGAGCACTAGATTACATAGGTCTNCGCCATCACGGTCCCGTCGGTGAAAACTTTCGGATCGTGACAACAAAGGATGAGGAAAATCAGAACTCGTCAAAAAAAATTAAAATCATGAGTGCATAGTTCTAGCTTCTAACAAATGCTTACATGTTTGAAGCATACCTTCGTCGTTATCTTGCTGAACTTCTTAGTCCCCTCCTGGTTATCGGCTTTTAATAAAAGATCGACAATATTATTTGTTAGGGATAATTTCAAAAACCTCCCTCCAAGTTTGGCTTCTTAACACTAACTCTTTTGAGGTACAAGATTACGTCTAAATTTCAAAACTTCAACACTTTGCCATTTCAGATCCATGGATGCATATGAAAAACTTTGTGAGTGGTTTCTTTTGGGGCAGAAGACGAGACAACAAGAAGAGCGAGAAAGAAAATTTTGAAAAATTAAAAGGATATGTAGTTGGGAGAGAGAATCTCAAGAGATATATATAAGAATAAGTGTTAGGTGAATCTAAAGAGAGAAATATTAGAGATATAAAAATCTATAGACTTTAAAATAAGTTGTATTTATGTAATTTTCTAAAAATAATTATAACTTATTTAAATAGGTTTTAAATAAATTATATTTTGCGTAAATTAGTCAAAAGTTTATTAGTTAAAATATTTCTAAATAGATTTTTGATGGTACGGGGACGCCCAGTTCCTCATTTGGTCTAATGATGTATATGTTGGGATTGTAAAGGGGTTGGTTACTTGGTTTGCTTGGTACGGATTTCACGTTTTAGGTGACAATCATGGGACCCTACAGTCTTGGGGTGTGACACTCAGCAAATTGAATCTTTTCGATATATATATATTTTAGGGTTATGTTTAGCTGCGCATATAAATTGGAGATATATAACATATATTTTTATATCGAAACAATCAAATGTTGAAAGATAATAGTAACAACTGTTATAAATATATTATATTATGGATGTTCATTTAGTACTCCGTTGTAAATAAGCTTCCTGAAGAACCTTATCCATATGAGACTCCGCCGTAAATATATTTATCTATTTAGTACTCCATTGGAAATAAGCCTCATGAAGAAGCTTATCCTTTCGGTACTCCGTTATGGATAAATATTACCCATGGTAGAAGATTATCTATATCTGGCACAACAGCTTAGAGTGGCAGCTTACAAGCAGCTTACACAGCAGCTTGCAGTAGCAGCTTACACAACAGCTTCCTTTCTTCTATAAATAGAGGAGAATTCAGTTCATTATGTACATAAGTTTGAAGTTTGAATAATATATCAGTTTCTCTCTATACTTGTCTTTACTTTA